GGTGATTTTCCGATACAATATTCTGTAGTTGTTGATATAGTTTAATATTAGGGGATTATCTGTGTACTTTTTAATATACATGAGTGACCTCATATTTTTAGATGATGTTCTTATTCCTTTAGTTGTCCAAGATTTATGACATTTAGTTTTAATGGGGCGAAGGGGGAAAGCTGTATTGAAACACATAATTATTTTATTTAAGAAGTCTAAAAATTTAGAGTCAATATCTTCAGAAAGACCATTCCAATCAGTAGTTCGACATAAATTATAGAAATTTTTGAAATTATGCTTAGAGAAAATTCTACGTAGCTGACGGACTTTTTTGGAGCTGTACGGGGTATCAAAAATTTGGCAAATACTGCTTCGTGGTCTGAGAGACCTGAGCTAATTACTTGGTGCTCTACATCAACGGGTTTAAAATCAGAGACTACGTAATCTATAATTTTATTGTAGATGTTGTTTCTGTGATTCTAGTTGGAGAATTTACGTGCATAGTGAGACTGAATGATTCAAAAATATTGATCAAAGACTTTTGAGTAGCACATACATTAGCAAAGTCAATATTAAAATCGCCGCATAAAATTTTCTTACTTTTTATAGGCAATGCGTCAAGTAGATTAAGAAGATTCTCTAGAAAGAGGTGAACATTTGATTTAGGTGTTCTATAAATACAAATAATAAACAAATCAATGTTTTTGTTGTTTACAATGGAAAATTCGAAGAAATTTTCAGCTTGTAGAAAGTCGTATTTAGATACAGCAGAAAAGTCCTTGTCTAAGGATAAAATTAGAGTTCCACCATGGTCTGTATTACTTCTATCATATCTGCTGACGATAGTATATTTTTCGACAAAAACTGGTTCACCAACTGATTCACCAAATCTGATTAACATTTTTTTTTGTACTGCAGATTCTATTTTATTTTAATATTTATTAAATTTTAGAAAAGTTATTGTACATCTTATAAAAAATGTAGTAAAGCTGAATTCATATATAACTAACTTAATTTCATTTCATTATTTAATAACATAATGCGTTTATTACCTATATAAATTCCAAAGTGGTTGATAAATCTCAATTTGAAGATAATTTTTCAAAAATTCATAGATGGGACACGGTAATAAGTATACTAATTCTTATACATACACTTTTTTTTTTAATTTCTCCGTTACGGTCTATTTTAGAAAAATAATTTCCGGTCGTGTGTAATTTGATACGTTTTAATTTAATAGTTTGAAATAACAAGGTTCCTCCACCATAATTTAAAATAAAAAGCACATACACCATAATTTTAAATTTCCCTACGTTATCATCAAATACTCGAATTTTGCGCTACTGCCAAAATTTTAAATTACATTATTTCGTCGATTTTTTTCAAGTTTACTTGAATAGTTTTATTTTACATCAACTTCTGTAGGAAAAGTTCTGTATTTACCCATTGGATTGTAAAATCTTATTCGATATCAGTGTTCAAAACTGTTTAAAATTAGAGTGTGACTACGGATAAAACAAATATTTACTACTATAAAATAAAATCGATAATTCAATCAAAGTAACAGAGCTGGAAGAATTTGATAACTTTCAAGAGCTTATCTTTAAATTCATAAGTTTACACTATTTTCTACTTTTTTTTACTTTTATTATAATTTTTTATTTACTGATCTATTGTCTTTTATTAAATTTCCCTTGTAAATGGGAAACTGTTGGGCAACAATTTTTGGGGCAAAAATTTTGTAGATTTACTTAAGTGGGTCGCAGAAAAAATATACTAAATTCGATTGGTTTGTCCGTATAACATTCAGACGATTAAGAACTCCCTTACAGCATCATATACTTAAATTAATATTTTTAACCCTGCGGTATTTCATATTTTATTTACCTAAAAATTTTAATTAAACCTGATAGAACAAAGGATTTGCGATTTAAAGCACATTTATGAAGTTTTTGAAGTAAAATATATATGTAACTCGAGCGCATACTAAGGATTCAGCCGAATTAATATAGAGTGTGAGCAGAAGGAGAACCGAATTTACTGGAGGTCCTTTGAAACCTTCTAATTAAGTTCTTGCGGGGTTTTCCAGAGTTATGAAGACGTGCTTAAAATAGAAACTCCTGAAGAATTTGTCCATAATTCAGGACGAACTAAGAAACTCCGAAATTAGTGAGGGGTGGGTGAAAGAGACGTCAACTTAAGTTTTACATTGAATCCTTGAAATAACACGAAAATTCTTCATGAATCGCTGTATGGGGGATAAGTTTTAATGAACAGAATTTTTTATTTTGTAAAAATAAAAAACGATAAAAATATACTGTACCCAAATGGTTATTTTAGTTAGAGATTATTATCTCCAACGTACAAAATTTGTATTTTTAACCGACTTCATAAAAGGAGGAGGTTCTCAATTCGTCGCAATATTTTTTTTATGTATGTTCAGCGATAATTTTTTAACACGGTGTCCGATTTCAATGATTCTTTTTTTGTTAGTAAGGGGGTACCTCAGAGGTGGTCCCATATAAATTTGGTTAAGATATGGTGATGGCATCTGCACGTTTTTTAAATTTTTAATTTCTAATATTTGTTGTTCAATATGACATACTTAAATACAAATGTTTTAGCTAAAGTTTTTCTTTTTATATGTTTGCAGGTATTTACAAAGGAGATCTGGTTGTTGTATTATATTTTCTATAGTTTACAAGAAATAAATAGTGACCTCACTACTTTTTCCTAACAAATAATGAGCTCAAGCTGTGTCTACCATAAAATACCGCTTTTAACATGATTACTAAATAGTTTGGAAACTAAATGAACAATCACTAACAAACAAATTTAGGACAAAAGCTTTGTTCGATGAAAGAGACCGCTGCTTGTTAATTTTACAACTTGCAAACTAAGTAAACGCGATAATGTGTTGTTTTATTTGTTAAAATTATCCAAAGTTGCCAAATTTTATAAGTAGGTACTAGATAAAATGGCGACCATGAATTCTGTCGTTATTCTATCTAGAAATTATAATTATTTTAAAATAATAAACCTTTACTTCAGAATTTTAGTGCTGTTTAGATTTTTAGTTATAGTTTTCTAATACAGGGTATTTCCTAGGTTGGGTCTTTAATCTATGCTTTAATCAGACTGTAGCATCTCGTGCAATACATCTTATATTTTGAATTAATTTGAAGACAGATAGTCCTTGTTTTGACGAGCTTCCATTTCCTCACTGACATTTTATTTTTTTGTGGAGATGGCATTTCGAAATGTTTCAGAAACGACACAATATTCCTTGCCAATGCCACTGAACCTAAAAATTCGATGACATTGAAATGGAGGCTTTCGTTTTTGATTTCCTTAATAGGAAGCAAGAAAAAGAAGAACAAAAAAGCAGAGTCAACAAAATCCCAAAAAAAAACGAATTAATTTTTAAATAAACCTAAGGAAAAACTATAACAAATTTTCTTTATATAGAAAACCAGTCACGATCCCTATACCGACATGCTGTGTAAATCAAATCAATAAAATTACGTACATTTTTACTTTCCTATCTGTATACAGATATAAGGAAAGTATAGGAATCATGATTTTTTTCGACCTCGAGTTTTCGACGGATTTTTACGTTTTGAGGTCCCCTGAATCCGTTTTGACTATTTTCGCGATGATGTCTGTGTGTGTGTGTGTGTGTGTGTGTGTGTGTGTGTGTGTGTGTGTGTGTCTGTGTGTGTGTCTGTGTGTGTGTCTGTATAACGCATAACTCATGAACCGATACACAGAAAAACACCAAATTTTAAACTTAAGCTTTGTTTCAGCGTCCAATGAGCTGATTAGATTTTGGGCAGAGTCGGAACATCTGGGGGGGTACTTTATAGGTGGTCATTTTTATATTTTATGGAATATATCTGTTATTTACGTTTGGAGAAGAAAATTCTTCAAATAAAAGTTACTTCTAATATAATTATCTATAATTTTTGTTTTATGCAAAATTTTCTTAAAATGGTCCGTATTCGAGAAATTTGACAAAATGTAAAAAAAATATTTTTTTTTTAAAATTGTTCAAATAAAAGTTGTTTGTAATATAATTCTCTATAATTTTTGTCCTATACATAATTTCTCTAAAATGGACCGTATTCGAGATATTTGAGAAAATGTGTAAATTTCGAAATTTGAAGAAAACTCAAAAACGGAAAAAGGAAAAAACATTAAATTTTAAACTTAAGGTTTATTTCGGCCTGACGTGAAATGATTAGATTTTGGACAAAGTCGGAACATCTGGGGGGGTACTTTATGGGAGGCCGTTTTTATATTTTATGGAATATATCTGTTATTTATGTTTGGAGAAGAAAATTGTTCAAATAAAAGTTACTTCTAATATTTTTATCTATAATTTTTGCTTTATGTCAAAATTTTCTGAAATGGTCCGTATTCGAGAAATTTGACAAAATGTGCAAAATTCTGATTTTTATGAAAATTGTTGAACTAAAAGTTGTTTGCGATATCGATTTCTATAATTTTTGTTTATACATGATTTTTCTAAAATGGACCGTAATGGAAAAGTGCTAAATTTAAATTTTTCTGTATTTTCGTTTTCAATGAATATCTATAAAAAAATGTTTCGAGGTAGATGTATGTGTAAAATGTATATATTTAGTTTATCCTCTAAACATTTATAGAGATGCTGCAATAGGTTGTACAAAATAACCGGAAAATGCCTATAATAATTAGATAGAAAAGTCATGTGTTGGACACATCAGATTTTTTTATAATACCACTGATTTAAAAATACTCTATCTTTATTTAATTGCTTTCCCAAAAATAAACAGCTCAAGTAAATTTTCGCTTTTCCGAGCGGTTGATCACTCTAAGTCAAACCACCAGTTGGATAAGCTTTTGTATTCTTGATAAGATTTATCCGGCATCGTATTTTCAGTAAGTTTTTGTCGACGTGTACAAGAATCTGCACTCAACATCCATCAATGATAAGCGCCCATTATGTTGACTGGATTCTACAAATGTGTTCTCATCCATTAACAGTGGCTTTTTTTACATCTAGATTGTTTTTACCGTGTCGAATGGAAAGTCTGAGAATAAACGCATCTTTTAGAGGTTGATTGACATTGAAATGGAATCACGATGAAAATCAGAAAGTAACAGTATCTATGAGACTAAATATGTGATTAAGAACTCAAATAAAATAAATTTTATAATTTATAAATAATTTTTATTAACAAAATTGAACATTTCGTGATAAAGTCAACATTATCGTTTAATAAATGTTATTAAATTAGAACTAAAATGGTTGAGTTAGATAGAAGAATTCGTAACCAAGCTTCGGTAAGCAACCGTAAAGCTGAAAATACTACCACGTCTCCATCTATAACCTTACCATGCCACATTTGAAACCCAGTATCATAAAACCATACCAGCAAGACCCTTAAGCAACCCACGTTTGATGGGAAACATATAGACTCTAATTTGAAGCTGCGGCTCGGTCCAAGCTTTGGAGACAAAGTATGGCCAGCAGCATTGGAAACAAGTGTTTCTAAGTCAACTAAAGATTCTTGGTCAGAAATATAATAAGAGTCTACAGGAATTCCAGTAAGGGTTGCCAATTTATCGAAGAGACTAGTCAAAATAAAGAAAGGACAATAAAAGGGTTCTGTATATCGGTGAAAAAATGGTAACTCAGTTGACGCTAGAGCTTTGTGAAAGAGCTGGTTAAAAATTATAACTACCTTAACAGTTGAAGAACTAAAAAAAGTCAAAGAATTTATAAATACCAACTGTGACATTTTCGAAACAGGAAAATCTACAATCTTGTCCAGCATAGGCGATGCAAGTCCAATAAGGCAGGCATCTAGAAGACTACCATTTGCTAGACAGAAAAAGTAGCTAATATGATATAGGACATAATGGATGCAAATATTATTGAAGAAGCTGCTGGTTCCTGATGCTCACTGTAATCCTAGTAATTAAGAAAGATGGATCTGCTCGTTTCTGTGTAAACTATAGAAGATTAAATCATGAAAGCCATTGAAGACTGTATTTTTAGTAATACTTCAGTAAATATAATATCCTGCACTATAACGGCTTCCTGAAGATAATATACTAATATACTTGACTTCAATTATTATTCACTACTTGATGATATAGAATTCATATACTCAGATATTCCAGAAGAACCATCGCTTGGAATACTAAATGAAGATTCTGATATATCTTGCACTTGTACACTATCAAGTGACATTCCAAAAGATAAAGAACTTTCCAATTCTGCACGGTTACTATTGGACTCTTGTTTACTGTACAGAGAACTTATTGTAGATGATATAGATTCATGTTTACTAATAGTAGAAGCATCTGCTGTTGTAATCACATTTCCCAATGCCCTATTAGATATATCTTCTGAGGGTAGTAGTTCAGAACTTTCTGTAGAATAAGTTGAATAGCCAGAATAAAATACAACACTGGATGGTGGATTACTATTGGAATCTTGTTTACTGTACAGAGAACTTGTTGTAGATGATAGAGATTCATGTTTACTAATAGTAGAAGTATCTGCTATTGTAATCGCATTTCGCAGTGCTCTATTAGATATATCTTCTGAAATTAGTAGTTCAGAACTTTCTGTGGAATATGAATATCCTGAATACATTACAACACTGGATTGTAGATTACTATTGGACTCTTCATTACTGTACAGAGAACTTGTTGTGGATGATGGGGTTTCATATTTACTAATAGTAGAAGTATCTGCTTTTGTAATCACATTTCCTAGTGCCCGATTAGATATATCTTCTGAAAGTAGTAGTTCAGAACTTTCTGTGAAATATGAATATCCAGTATACATTACAACACTGGATGGTGGATTACTATTGGAATCTTGTTTGCGGTACAGAAAACTTGTGGATGATAGGGTTTCATGTTCACTAATAGTAGAAGTATCTGCTGTTGTAATCACATTTCCCATTGCCTGATTAGATAAATCTTCTGAGAGTAGTTGTTCAGAAGTTTCTGTGGAATATGAATATTCAGAATACAATATAACACTGAATGGTGGATTACTATTAGAGTCTTGTTTACTGTACAGAGAACTTGTTGTAGATGATAAGGTTTCATGTTTACTAATACTAGAAGTATCTGCTGTTGTAATCACATTTTCCAGTGCCCTATTAGATATATCTTCTGAGAGTGGTAGTTCAGAACTTTCTGTGAAATACAATACATCGCTTAATGGTGGATCAGCAGATATACTTTGAGATTCTTTCATAGGATAACCAGAATATCCTGTAGATGAAAAACCAAGGGATTGTGAAATGATATCCGTATTACTTTGATACAAATTTGAAGAATCTGTTGATAAAAATATCTCAAATTCAGATATTCCTGAAGCAGTTCCACTAGCAGAAGTTCTGGAGATTTCTTTTGAATTATTTGTAACTGTTATGAAATTTTCTCTACTATAACTGGAATATGCAGTTGATATTGAACCGAATTCTTGTTCGCCAATAGGAAAAAATCCAATTGATTGAGACTTTTCAGATTCTGATCTTCCTACTGTAGAAAATAGAAGAGAACTGATCGTCACTTCTGTAGAATCACTTGCTAATTTATTCTTGTAATAACTTGAGTATCCTGTAGATGAAAAGCTTGAATCTGTTTCTTTGTTGGTAATAGAGGTATCTGTTAATGTAGATCTAGCATAGTCCGACCTATCTAACGTAGCTTCAACAGTAAATATTTTTGTTTGATTTTTTGGGTAACTTGAAGATGAAAATTCGCTACTTTTTGGTAAATCTGATTCAGACGTTTCTATAGGGATATTACTGGATGAATCTTTACTATAAATATTTCTTTTGATAAGATATTCCGATGATCCAGATGCTACTTCTTCTACACCATATTCTGGACTATATCTTTCAATTTCTCTAGATAGATTACTCGATTCTTCTTTGGAATACAGTTCGGTTAATTGTGATACGTTCTGAGTTTGATCTGTACTACTAAATAGCAACGATGTTTTCGAAGATATTGAACCAAATTTTTCAATATCTGTAGATACATTTTCCGATGTATCGCTACTGTAACTGGGTTGTTCTGTAGATGAGGAACCAAAGTTCTGTAAACTTGAATATGTCTTTCCTAAAACGGAATATTGTTTCTGTGATTCTGATTCACTAATATCTTGATTGAACAAAGTTACTGCGCTTGATTTTATAGTTTCATGTTCTAAACTAACTTGTTCAGTTTCTGTTTCTTTTTTGTGATATGAATAACCAGTAGATAATGAGTTGATGTATTGGGAATCAGATTTGTATTCTTGGTTTATATCAGAAGCTATGCCTTCTAATATAGAACTACTACAATCTGATGTAAGATAACTAGGTATTTTTACTTTATTAGAAATTATTTCAGATTCTTTCCCTCTATTATTCAGGTATCCTTTAGTTAATAAGTTTTCAGACATTTCTGTGGTAAAAATGTTGATATTTTCTTTCAGGTATCTTGAAAATAAAGACATAAATTCACTGTTTTTTGACGTTTCTCCTCTACTTAAAACTGATCCTCCTGTGGATATCGGTTTTTCAATTTGTGTAGGGATGTGTATGTTCTCAAATGATGCCGAGCTTGATGATGGTGTCTCTTTGGTTATAATGCTGTCATACATCGATGTCTCTTCAGGTATGCTTACTAAATCAACTTCTGAACTGTCGATTGAAAGTGCTGATCCTGAATTATTCTGGTTTTTATTAAAAAGCAAGGCTATAAATCTTTTATATTCAGAATTAGATTTTTCAATTTCTGCATAGATATTTGCTGTGTTTTCGTGACTATAATCAAAACCAACACTTAAATTTCCTTCTTTTTTATAATTATTATACAATTTTTTAGTTAATATCATCATATCACCCTTTGATTGCGTATTCATAACTCCAGCTCTGGTCGAAACTTTTTTAGATTCTCTTGTAATAAAAATTGGTGGTATATTTGGTACGTTTAAAGGCATGGGTGGTGTAATTTCATGTTTAATATACTCAGAAGTACCTTCATTAGAAGCGCTAAATGAAGATTTTGATTCATCTTGTACTTGTACACTATCCAGCGATATTCCAGAAGATGAGGAACCTTCAAATTCTGCGTCAGAGATTTCAATTTCTGTATTGTTGCTGTTGGACTCCTGTTTGTTGTAAAAAGAACTTATTGTTGATGGGGTTTCGGTTAATGACGAATTAGATTTAACTTTATGTTTTCTAAAATCAGAAGTCCCTTTTGTGTCAAAGTACGTATCACTTTTAGATTGGATTTCACTGCCTTCTTTCGTAGTCTCTTTTGTGTCAAAGTACATATCATTTTTAGATTGGATTTCACTGCCTTCTTTCGTAGGCTCTTTTGTGTCAAAGTACATATCATCATTCTTAGATTGGATTTCACTGCCTTCTTTCGTAGTCTCTTTTGTGTTAAAGTACATATCATTGTTAGATTGGATTTCACTGCCTTCTTTCGTAGTCTCTTTTGTGTCAAAGTACATATCACTTTTAGATTGGATTTCACTGCCTTCTTTCGTAGTCTCTTTTGTGTCAAAGTAAATATCACTTTTAGATTGAATTTTACTGTCTTCTTTCTTAGACGATTGAGCTTCATTAATTGTTTCGGAAAAATCTGTAACAATCAGACTGTATACAAATCAAAATATAATATCATAAACACTGTCATACCTCCAAAAGTCTTCGTTGCTATTGGATTCTGTGTTAATTTCGTTTTCTCAACGCTTTCACTACTTTGCAATCCTTGAACACTAAGGTCTGTGTATACAATTTAAATGTTAATAATATAAAATCAAAATTAAATTTACTTGCCTTCTATTGTCTCCGTTATAACTGGATTTTGTGGCGATTTTGTTTTCTCAATTGCTTCATTAGTTTGGAGCTCCTCTACACCAAGATCTGTTTATAAAATATATAAGATATATATACCATCTATAATATGAAATTAAATATAACTAAGTGAAAAGCTGTTATGTTATACATTTTGATGTATCTGTTGGTAAAAAACCTTCACCAATTTGTAGCTCTTGAACAATAGCTGCTATGGCAAGGTAACTCAGGGTAAATGTCATTTTTGACTTATTGGTACATTAAAAATGGTAAAGAAAAACCTTTCTATCTGGTAAAATATCACAACTGAACTTTCTAGCCGTTATATGCTGTCTAAGTCAATACCAAAGGTTCTTTCTATTCTCAATGCTATAGTTGAACATTTTCATCTGCAATAGACATTTTGTTTTAAATACAACGCTGCATCGGCAATTATCACCATATTAAAGCGTACAGCATTGTGGATCATTGAGCGTAAGAACAGGAGGATGGGTTATTTTCTAACTTTCAGTCGAAAGTGCTAAGCGAATTTCTCAGAATTGCCAAAACAACAAGCAGGCAATTATGATATTCTCTAATGCTAGACACTTTTGCTATACGCAAGTGATTTTCGTTTTTGTGAGTATTAAAAAAATAAAATGAAATTTAAAATCATATCTACCTTCTGAGTCAGGAGTCAGTGATGATTTCGTTTTCGCAGTGGCTTCTTCAGTGGTTAGAAGTCTTTTAGTACCAAGTTCTGCAAATTTAAATATCAATAAATATAATATAAGTTAAACCTTGATAATATACCTTGAGTAACCTGTGTTAGTATTGGTTTCTCTGATGAATTTGTATTATCCATGCTCCTAATGGTTTGCGTCACTTCTGTAGCAATTTCTGTGTATAAAATATTAACATTAATAATATAAAACTAAATGTAACAGTTGGAAAGATACACCAAATGATAAATTAAACGAAGATTTTGATGATAACAACAACACTATTGTATAAAACAGTAATAAGACCAACAGTACTCTAAAAAAGCGAAACCAGACACAACAAAGTAAGCTAGATACCTCAGAAAGGAAAATATTGTGAAGAAAAGTGGACATTTAAATTTGTGCATTCTATAATGAACAAAGAAAAAAAATTGTAGTATTATTGAAGACGCTAGACCTGGTTAGGCCATCTGGAACAGATGGAACAAAACAGACATGGTGTAAAGCGTGGAATATGCCTCAAGAGAAAATGAAGAGGCAAAGGTCGAGTCAAGACAGAAATACAAGACAGCAGTGCTGCAAGATTTGGCGAAACACAAAGCTTGATGGCCTTTTTTGCAGCCTTCATACCAAGAATCAATATCACTTTCAATAATATAAAATAAAATAAAGTTTAACATCAAATCTACCTTCTAAATCACGAGCCTGTGATGATTTCGTTCTCTCAGTAGCTTCAGTAGTTCGTACTCTTTCAGTACCAAGACCTATAAATTAATATATCATTGATATAAAATTGAATACAAGTTAAAACCTGATGATATACCTTGTGTAAGCTGTGTTGCTATTGGCTTTTCTGATATATTCATGTTATTCTCTCCCTCAGTAGTTTGAAGCACTTCTGTACCAGTATCTGTATAATAAATAATGACATTAATATTATAGAATACAATACAAAAATGGATACACCTTTTAGAGTATTCGTTCCTCTTGGATTCTGTGTTGATTTCATTTTCTGAATACCATCAGTAGTTCGCAGATTTTTAGTACCAGGTTCTGTATATTTAAATAACAATTAAACTCAACTTAAAAACTGGCATACCTTGAGTACTCTGTATTGGCATTTTTTAAATTAAAAACAATATAGAAATAGTTGTACCTTCTAAGGCTGTTCTTGTTGTTGCTGTGTATGATGGATTCGTTTTCTTCATACGTCTACTAGTTTTCTGTATTTCAGTATCAGTTTCTAAGCATTAAATAATATAGAAATTAGGTATATAAAACATAAAAACATAATTTTAGTTCCTAGTTTTCAGCTCACTGTATTGCCATTACTATTTTTTTTTTATATTTATCGATAACATCAAACATTCTTTTGAACTAAACTCTATAGAATTTAGAATTAAGAATAGGATTTTCTTACTATTCGCAGGATATTTTTTTCCACGACACTGGCAATGCCCTTCAATTTGAATATGTGTCTCAGCTAGTCTAAAAAAGCTAATATTTCTGGATCCAATATCCCAAAATTCACAGTTAACTGGCTGGAATAAAGCTACATATGAAGACGTTTGAAAAATTAGACCTGTAAAATTTATCACGCATTGTCCATCAAAAGGCAGATCAGTGGATGGTTGATAAGTTGCTCTTGATAACGAATTCCAACCTGAAATTAAAATAGGTTTAAGGGAACCGTAAGTATTGCAGATAGCTCTAAAGAAATTTGATTTTACTTAATTGAAAGAGAATTTAAACCCATAGGTGAACATTTCACGTTAAAGAAGTTAAGTAGCAGGATTTTCCTTCCTCAATCACCCCAGGAAAAAGTTTTTGAAAGACTTAAGAAGATTTCGGGAAACTGGTACTGTTGCTTATGAAAAGCGTAAGCAGAAAGAATTCTGTTCAAGATTTTTGAAAAGAAAACAAGGAGAAGATGAACCATTTTTTGGTCAAATACTATTTACTGATGAATCTACTTTCAATAATAACTGATTTATGAATAGACAAAACCAATGGTCGTTAAATGTTTATGGTGGAATGATAGAAAGACAGATTTTTGAAGATATATTTCTAGAGTGTTTTAAAGTACATTTCTTTGGGAATTAGACGGAAAATTTGGCTACAGCTAGATGGTGCATAGATAGAAAGAAGAGCCCCTACTAATTTGCCTCTTAGATCACCAGATATAGCAGAGTTTCCCAAAAAATGGAAATCATCGTAAATGCAGCGATAAAAGCTGAAAAAAGTTTAAGGATCTAGTGGATTGGACTAATCATTAAATAGAATAATAAAAATAAAAGTACTTACCCAAAGCCATCATATCTTGCATCTTCCTCAATGGCATGTATTTCGTGTGCATTGTTATCATTGTTGCTAATAATGGTATTGTTATAACAAATATTATTACAATTATATCTGAAGGTATACGCATTTTAAACAATATTTTAGAATTATTACTTTTAACTTGACAATAAATGTTATTTTGACAGTATAAACTTGTATCTCTATCACAGGTTATCAATGTCAGAAAATTTACAAAAAACATTTTGAGAGGATGTGACAATCATTGAGTGTCTAGAGAAACAGATTGACTCTACTCTAATTTTTCTAAAAATATTAATATTTTGGTTACTGTTCTAGGAAGATGTATTGGTTGAATTAAAAATATAAGAAAATCGGATTTAGGACAACATCAAAAAGCCAATGGCCGTGTTCATCGTCGTCAAACATGTTGTAACGCTGAGTAAGCGGTGACGATGAACTGTCAACCGCTGCAGCGCTTTTGAAGAAGCATAAAAGCGAAAATAAACTCGCTTGTTTGCTTTAAAAGCATAAAATTGACCTTGAACCCCTGTCAAATCCGTCTTTTGGCATTTTGTTAGGTTATGTGTTTGTTTATTTATTTATATTTTTAAGGTTTTATACCCTAATAGAGTTGATTAGTTAAGTTGTATTTTAATATAATATTGTATTTATGGAGGTACCTATTTGAAGAAAATAAAATTAATTCCAGACGTAGATACATACACGTATGCTTAAATTATTTCATTTGGACGTTAATGGGATTCCACCAGTAAGGAATATGGATAATATAACATACCTACATATTATATAGTTTTAGCACAGTTATTCAAAACAGACGAGTTTTGTTATCAAAACTGCACCGATGTTTTTGTTTTCATGTAATGTATATAAGGCCAAAAGGGCATTAAAAAATAAATAATAATAATAAAAGTATGACATTTTATTTACAAAATAAATTGAATATAAGCAATTACATTAAAAAGGGCCCACCTTGGTTTGTTGAACCTTTAAAAAAATACCTCATTACTGTATACATTTCAAATAATTTTTGCTAATAAGTCGCTCTACCTATATGACAACATTAAGTTTGTATATTTATTAATTTCCAATACAAAATATATCATTCCTATAAAAGAATTAATGTATATAGTTTGTCGATAAGGTATGTATAACTCTATAATACTAGACAAATTTTATTAATACATAAAAATAATTCAGACTCAATATGAATATTAGCAATGACCAAAAATGTATAACACCTAAGTACCTAAATCAAAAATACTTTGTAAAAAAATAAGTAAAGCATTAGATAGGGATTATTTTAACAATTTTCGGTTTTTGTAATAAAACGTTATCATTTCTTACCTCACAGCAAGAAGCCTGTAAATTTTAAAAGACAACAGCAATTTTTCATTATTTTTAATGTAGAATAACAACAGTAAGATTGTAGTAAAAGTAAAACAATAATATAATAAAAAAATGTATTAAAAATAAGTGAAATAACATAATTTTATGTTTATTTATTAGAAATTAGAAAAGCGAAATAAAACTTGTTTAGTGGGCTGATTTTCTATATTTTAGTTTTTAAATGGGAATGGAACTGTTGACGTGACTTGTTTATGTTATGCTTGGCTTTCAATACTGATACTTCAAATTAAGTAAGTTTTTTTCACTAGCACATATTTATATGAGATACCACTCTTTTTTGAAAAATGTTTTGAATCAGATCACGTTTTCTTTTAAAGCGGGACATTCTTGCATTCTTTGGGGACAATGGAACACATAACTTGAAAGTGGGTTTGTCTTGCCTAAAGCGGGACTTATGATGTTAGGTATGACTCAAAAATAAAAGTTTACTTCAGGTTGATTTTCATTTTTATCTCTTCCTCCTTTTTCGAATCAGTTAGTTTTGAACTGGTTTGAGACACATGCCTCAAGTTCTGGGCTGGAGTCCAGTTTAAATGATTACTAACTTTGAAGGAATTCTGTTTCCCTAAAAATAGGAAAGTCATACTTGATGTCTCTATTATTAAACACTTTTATGTATCCTTAATATATGTAAAAAGATCACTTTTTGATATGTATGTTATTAGTATCATGAGTTCCTTTAATTTATTGGTGCAGACCAGACAGTTGATTAAACACAATAAATAGCATTCTCATTCTGCTCTTCAAAGTATGATCTAGTTACAGTATGTTTTTATTTGTGTGTCAAAAAAATGTATTTTACCTTTAATAAAATGACTATTACAATTTCTTTGATTAGTCTAAGTATGTAGAATTCAAGATCCATAGAGGCAATAAAAACATCATGACTTTACAACCCAAAATAATACAAGTTGTAGGTTTTTCGCCGTAAAATTGTCAAAACCACTTTCAGAAGGGTACTTATATAAACTCTAATTCACTGTACAAATCAATTCAACTCAATTTTTTTAAAAAAATACTAAAGTAAACAATTCACATAACGTTCTTTGTGCCAACCAAATGTCATTCCATTTTTTGACAGATTTGAGGTTGAGAAAACAAATCGTAAACAAAAATGATCGTTCAGCGTCATTCCAACCGCTTATGAAACATGTTTCTTTGCTTTTAAAACATGTTTGACGACGATGAACACGGCCAATGTCTTTCATTTGAAAGGTATGTCGGAAGCAAATGATGAACTTTGAATGCTTACTAACACTGATGAATTATTAAAAACCCACTTTCGAAGAGGGAACGACCTTCATTTAAAATTTGGTAACAATAAAGAATAATCAGATCCTGTTAACACATCGCCGACATAGAAATAGTTTGCAATAATTTTGTAAGATTGTGGGTAAGTTTGGAAGCATTCACATTACAATAATTCTACTATACACCTGGTAGCTACAAAGCTAGCAGTATCAGCAGTGTCGCAAATTACTGTCTCACAGATCTGTTGTAGATGTCTCTGGGAGGAACAAACCAAAATTTGACGATACATTTTGGAAATGTTAGCAGGAGCAACGTTCAAAAGGATTTGAACTACAGGTCAGATCATCTGAACGTCATTAATTGAAACACCGGAAGTAGTAGCACAAGATTCATAAAATACCACTCGTAGATGAATTTTTAGTGAATCCTCTTTTTACTTTCCTATCTGTATACAGATATAAGGAAAGTATAGGAATCATGATTTTTTTCGACCTCGAGTTTTCGACGGATTTTTACGTTTTGAGGTCCCCTGAATCCGTTTTGACTATTTTCGCGATGATGTCTGTGTGTGTGTGTGTGCCTGTGTGTGTGTGTGTGTGTCTGTGTGTGTGTGTGTGTGTGTCTGTATAACGCATAACTCATGAACCGATACACAGAAAAACACCAAATTTTAAACTTAAGCTTTGTTTCAGCGTCCAATGAGCTGATTAGATTTTGGGCAGTGTCGGAACATCTGGGGGGGTACTTTATAGGTGGTCATTTTTATATTTTATGGAATATATCTGTTATTTACGTTTGGAGAAGAAAATTCTTCAAATAAAAGTTACTTTTAATATAATTATCTATAATTTTTGTTTTATGCAAAATTTTCCTAAAATGGTCCGTATTCGAGAAATTTGACAAAATGTAAAAAACATAATTTTTTATAAAAATTGTTCAAATAAAAGTTGTTTGTAATATAATTCTCTATAATTTTTGTCCTATACATAATTTCTCTAAAATGGACCGTATTCGAGATATTTGAGAAAATGTGTAAATTTCGAAATTTGAAGAAAACTCAAAAACGGATAAAGGAAAAAACATTAAATTTTAAACTTAAGGTTTATTTCGGCCTGACGTGAAATGATTAGATTTTGGACAAAGTCGGAACATCTGGGGGGGTACTTTATGGGAGGCCGTTTTTATATTTTATGGAATATATCTGTTATTTATGTTTGGAGAAGAAAATTGTTCAAATAAAAGTTACTTCTAATATTATTATCTATAATTTTTGTTTTATGTCAAAATTTCCTGAAATGGTCCGTATTCGAGAAATTTGACAAAATGTGCAAAATTCTGATTTTTATGAAAATTGTTGAACTAAAAGTTGTTTGCGATATCGATTTCTATAATTTTTGTTTATACATGATTTTTCTAAAATGGACCGTAATGGAAAAGTGCTAAATTTAAATTTTTCTGTATTTTCGTTTTCAATGAAAATCTATAGAAAAATGTTTCGTGGTAGATGTATGTGTAAACTGTATATATTTAGTTTATCCTCTAAACATTTATAGAGATGCTGCAATAGGTTGTACAAAATAACCGGAAAATGCCTATAATAACTAGATAGGAAAGTCATGTGTTGGACACATCAGATTTTTACTTTCCTATCTGTATACAGATATAAGGAAAGTATAGGAATCATGATTTTTTTCGACCTCGAGTTTTCGACGGATTTTTACGTTTTGAGGTCCCCTGAATCCGTTTTGACTATTTTCGCGATGATGTCTGTGTGTGTCTGTGTGTCTGTGTGTGTGTGTGTGTGTGTGTGTGTGTGTGTGTCTGTATAACGCATAACTCATGAACCGATACACGGAAAAATACCAAATTTCAAACTTAAGCTTTATTCCAGCGTCTAATGAGCTGATTAGATTTTGGGCAGAGTCGGAACATCTGGGGGGGTACTTTATAGGTGGTGATTTTTATATTTTATTAAATATATCTGTTATTTACGTTTGGGGAAGAAAATTTTTTAAATAAAAGTTACTTATTATTTTATGATCTATAATTTTTGTTATTTACAAAATTTTCCTAAAATGGTCCGTATTCGAGAAATTTGACAAAATGTAAAAAAATATTTTTTTTTATAAAAATTGTTTAAACAAAAGTTGTTTGTAATATAATTCTCTATAATTTTTGTCCCATAAATAATTTCTCTAAAATGGACCGTATTCGAGATATTTGAGAAAATGTGTAAATTTCGAAATTTGAAGAAAACTCAAAAACGGATAAAGAAAAAATCAATAAATTTTAAACTTAAGTTTTATTTCGGCCTGACGTGAAATGATTAGATTTTGGACAAAGTCGGAACATCTGGGGGGGTACTTTATGGGAGGCCGTTTTTATATTTTATGGAATATATCTGTTATTTATGTTTGGAGAAGAAAATTGTTCAAATAAAAGTTACTTCTAATATTATTATCTATAATTTTTGTTTTATGTCAAAATTTCCTGAAATGGTCCGTATTCGAGAAATTTGACAAAATGTGCAAAATTCTGATTTTTATGAAAATTGTTGAACTAAAAGTTGTTTGCGATATCGATTTCTATAATTTTTGTTTATACATGATTTTTCTAAAATGGACCGTAATGGAAAAGTGCTAAATTTAAATTTTTCAGTATTTTCATTTTCAATGAATATCTATAGAAAAATGTTTCGCGGTAGATGTATGTGGACAATGTAT